TGTTTGTGTTACCTGTTATCTATATTACTTCTTACTTAATGATGTCTTTTTTCTTTGTGTTTCTGGTGATTTACTCTTTAAGTATATTTTATTGATTATGTTATTACAGTTGTACCCATTTTCCCCCTTTGCCCCCCTCTGCCTGGTACCCTCCTTTCCTCCAGCAATCCCCCCCATTGTTGTTAGCTCATGCCCATGGGTCATGTATATGGGTAAGTTATTTGGCTTCTCCATTTCCTATACTATTCTTAACATCCCCTTGTCTATTTTCTACCTACCAATAATGATTTTTAATCCCTGCACCTTTCCCACTATTCTCCTCCCCCCTCTCCCTGCTGATAACCCTCCAAATGACCACCATACCTATGATTCTGTTCTTGTTCTGGTTGTTTGCTTAGTTTGTTTTCAGGTTCACTTTTTGATAGTTGTGAATTTGTTGCTTTTTTAATGTTCATAGTTTTGATCTTCTTTTTCTTAAATAAGTCCCTTTAACATTTCATGTAATAACAGCTTGGTGATGATGAACTCTTTTAGCTTTACCTTGTCTGGGAGCACTTTATCTGACCTTCCATTCTAAATGATAGCTTTGCCAGATAGAGTAATCTAGGTTGTAGGTCCTTGCTTTTCATCACTTTGAACACTTCTTGCCAGTCCCTTCTAGACTGCAAAGCTTCTTTTGAGAAATTAGCTGATAGTCTTATGGGTACGCCTTTGTAGCTAACTATCTGCTTTTCTCTTGTTGCTTTTATCTCTTTATATTTAACATTTGGCATTTTAAATATGATGTGTCTTGGTGTGGTCCTCTTTGGGTCCAGCTTGGTTGGGACTCTGTGCTTCTTGAACTTGTATGTCTATTTTATTCACCAAATATTAGAGAAGTTTTCTTCCATTATATTTTCAATCTCTTTCTCTGTCTCTTCTGGCATCCCTATATTTCAGTTGTTGGCACTTTTGGAAATGTCCCAGAGTCGTCTTATACTATCCTCATTTTTTGAATTCTTGTTTCTTCTTTCTGTTCTGGTTGAATGTGTATTTCTTCCTTATGTTCAAAGTTATTAATTTGAATCCTGGCTTCCTCCCCTTCACTGTTGATTCCCTGTAGATTTTTCTTTATTTCACTAAGTGTAATCTTCATTTCTTCTTTTACGTTGTTTCTGTAGTTGATGAGTTTTTGAGCATCTTGATCACCAGTGGTTTGAACTCTCCCATCTGATAGGTTGGCTGTCTCCATTTTTTTTCTGTTCTTTCATTTGGGCCATATTTCTTAGTCTTCTCAATTTGGCAGCTTCTTTGTGTTTGTTTCTATGTATTATGAAGAGCTACTTTGACTCCCTATGAAAGGCACCTGTAAATTGTGTGGGGCGGAGCCTTAGGTAATCCCCAGGGTGGGGCAACCCACTTCACTGCTTTTGGCTCTGTGTGAGAGGAGGGCTCAAAAAGGGGACTGTGCCACTGCCTGGCTTCTCCCCATTTTCAATCACTTCACCCACTCCTCATATGTGCCTGGCACCCTTCCAGCTATTGTCTTGGTATTGAAACCCACAGTGGGTGGGTTTGTGTGTGTTTTAAGACTGTGAAATCCCCTTAAGTGAAGTTTCCTGAAAATCCACCAGTTTTTTTCTGCCACCTCAACCCCTACTGGTTTTTACAGCCAGAAGTTATGGGGATTTATCTTCCCAGCTCTGGAACCCTGGGCTGTGTGGTCTGGTCTGGGGCTCAGATCACTTGCTCCCAAGGTATCTCTCCTGAATTTTATCCACCACACATGAATATGGGACTGTCCATGCCCGTTCCTCTACCACCACTGCTGCCTCTACATGCCACACTGTCTCCTTGCCTCTCCGCATCTCTGCCCCTCCTACCCTGTCTGGATGATTGTGGCTTCTTTAAATCTTTGGTTGTAGGACTTCCATACAGTTCAATTTTCTGACAGTTCTGGGTGTTACTTGTTTTTGATATTTAGTTGTAATTCTTTTTGGTGTTATACAAGGAGGCAAAGCATGTCTACTTACACCTCTATCTTGACCACATATCCTGGTTTACTTTTTTAAAAAGACTTTTATTTTTAAAGAGAGGGGTAGGAAGAGAGAAAGAGAGGGAGAGAAACATTGATGTGAGAAACATCAATCAGTTGCCCATAGGAGGTGCCATGACCCAGGACTGAATCTGTAACCTAGGCATGTGCCCTGACCAGCAGTCAAACAGGCAACCTTTTGCCTTGCAGGATAATGCTCACCAACAGAGCCATACTGGTCAAGGCTATTTCTGGTTAATTTTGTGTGTTGACATTGTACATGAACAATTGTTTATTTAAAGACTTTGAGGACTAGGATAATGGAATCTTACTCCAGAGAAGATTTTGTTGCCAGGCCTTTAAGGATGCCTCTTGTCTGGAACTACCATAATCTATATTCAAAGCCCACCTAAATGTTGCAAAGCCAAACTCAAAGACTTTGTAGGGCTAGTTTATTTCCAGGTTATAATTACCCTTAAAGTGAAACATTGAGGTTAATAGCACCATATGGGTGATGGTTTGTTAGGAAATCCCTCCCTTTTCAATGAGCCTTGGGTATTGATTTTTGTTACTCTAATGCCTTGAGTCAGCTTTTGATCCAACTCAGTTTGGCACTGGTTTATTCCTTAACCTTTATTCCTTAATAGACACACTCAAGACAAATAAAGGTTAATGATATGAGTACTAAAAAAAATTGGAAAATTCCTCTTTGACCTCATATAGGGGAAAAAAGAGTTCTTAACTATGAATCAAAAACTAGATACAATAAAAAGTATGATAAATTTGACTGCTTTTTAAAACAATGGCGAAACTATACCATGAAGTCAAAAAGCAACTAACAAACTGGAAGTAGATATTTGCAGCACATGTAATAGATAAGGGTCTAATATAGTTAATGTATGAAGACTTGAAAACGAGGGAGAAAGACCAACAACCCAATAGAAATGTAAAAAAACATTGAAAGACATTTATAATGGTGTTAAAATTATCATTAAACAGAGAAATGCAAAATAAACACCATTGAGAGGCTTCTATCATATTAATGGAAATTTAAAAGTATGTCACACTTTATGTTAGAAGATGTGTTGGTAAACATACACTTCTATCTTGCTGGTGCAAAGGCAAAAAAAAAAATGGGTCTTAACCTCAAGGGAGGCAATAGCCTGGAGATGTAACTTGGGAATCACCTGTGCCTAGAGGGAAATGAACAGAGATCACCGGGGAGAGAGTATGTGTGGACTGAGAAGAGAGGAGGCCCAGGAATTCCCTACTCAAGGTGGCAGCACAGCTTCCTGGCAGGCACCACCACTGGACTTGAGTCAAGCAGAGCTGGCATTGAAAGCTGGCTGTGGGGCTGTTTCTGAGTGCTTAGAGAAGTCAGGTATGTTCCCTGTGATCAACTGTCAGAACTGGCTATAATGGGCATCTCACAGAGATGGTGGACAAGAATCTGAGATGCACAAGATAAATAAAGCACCTGTGTTCAGAAAGCAGCCTCCTCATGCTGTGTCCGGTGACTCTCCCATTGCCATCACCACCACCCCCACTTCAGCCCCTGTTGAAGTTGACAGGTCCCTTGGGATGGGATGGGGTGAGCTGAAGTGATGCAGTGCTCATGTGACCCACTGGGCCCCCACCCACCCGTCATCAGGTCCCAGTACCATCAGCTCCAGTTGCCTACACAGTACTAGCTCCCTGAGCTGTGGGGGCAGTGAGCAAGGGACAAGTGGGCTTCCAGCAGTTGGAGGAAGTGCAGGCCTGGCCTGGCACCTACAGGTCATTGTGGAGGTGGGCATAGCCTTTGGTCTGGGCAGGAGTGGGGGTGGATTCAAGATAGACCTGGGAGCAGGGGCAAGGCAAAGGAATTCCAGAGGTGGGGTAGGTAGGGGACACAGGAATAGCCAGGCAGGTGATGAGGAAGGAGCCTATCATAGACCCCACAATCTCCTCAATACCCCACTTCTGCTACCCTCCATACATTTTTAAACCCTCACCCCAGACATGCTTATTGATTTGAGAGAAATGGGAAGGGAGGGAGGGGGAGAGAAGCATCCATGCGAGATAGAGACTTCCATCTGTTGCCCCTGTGTGAGCCCCAACTAGCAGACAACCCACAACCTAGGCACATGCCCTGACCCAGAATCAAACCCTACCTTTTGGTTTACTGGAGGACCCTCCAGCCAAATGAACCACACTGGCTAGGACTAGGGCTCTCCATCAGCTTTTGAACCAGTGTGCGACAGTGAAACATAGGTATATTCTGGACATAATTCCCCTTCATACTTCACCTGTGAGGAAATACTGACCTCCAGGAAAAAAGGGATGAGTTTGGTGTTGGTTGTCTGTAAGGTTGGTGGACACAGGCTCAAATAGTTTGGAAAGCATCCTACTCTGGTGCTAGAGGCCTGAAAACTGATACGGGGATGTGGTGCAGGGCAGGTAGGGGAGAGTAATGTTGGATGTGGAGAGCCCAGGTTCAGGAAAGGGACATCAGTCCACTTAGCACGCAGCTACTGCCCCTATCTCCTGACTGCAGGTCTGAAAGTCTGACCCCAGTGCTCTAAAAGGCTAGAAAAGGAAGAACCTGTCCAGAATCCCTGCAGGTCAGTGAAAACAGAAAGGCACACTGGACATGGACTGGGGGTGATGGTGGAGGGCGCAGGTTGGGCAGAATTTTAGGGTTCCACTGCCCATCATACCTCCACATATAATATACACACACCCTGCCACACTGAAGGTTGGTACAGAAGATGGCAAGGCCTGCCAGAGAAATGGTTGGCTTATGGATGTGGGAGGAACAGTGGAGAAAAATGTGGCAGAAGGTGGGGTCAGAGCAACCCTGACCACCAGCTAGATTCCAGTACTACCTGAGCCTGCACTTCACCCCCAACCCTCAGTCTCCCTTGTCTCCTCTTTCTCGTCTCCCCCACCCAACTCTGCCCCACTCCCCAGAACAGGCAAAAGAGGAGACATCTCAATGTGAAAAAAACTCTACAATAAAAATGAAGGAAAGCTGGAAAATGAAGAAAAGCCAGAAGATGAAGTAGATACAGAAGATGAAGGAAACTCAAATGAGGGAGAAAAGCCAGGAGTTGGGAAGCCAAGGCACAAGGGGAAGCACCAGGAAGAGGGAGAGCCAGATGACAAGATTAAACAAGAAAAGCGGGGCAAATCTGAAAGTGAGGGAAACCCACACAGTGAGGGCAAGCCAGAACCCCAAGCTAGAGAGCCAGCCACAGGCTGCTGAAAAGTGCCCAGCTGAAGATTATGTGCCCCATATAGCAAAGCAAGAAAACAGACAGGGGAATGGATGATTCTCCCAAGGGCTATTAGGAGGACTTACAAGAAAGGCACTTGGGTAGTGAGGAGATGATGACAGAATGTGAAGATGTGTCAAGGGCTCAGGAAGAGCCAAGGAAAAAAGAGAAACACTCGTTGAGTGGTTTTCATTGGATGCAAAGAGATGTACAGGATCCATTTGTACCAAGGGGCTTATGGGGTATCTATCAGGGCAGTGAGGGGCAGAGGCAGGGGCTAAAGGGGCTTACATGATATCCTATATCATTAATGCCCTTGGACATCAATTCTGATTTCTTTGATGGGAATATTCCACCCCTGCTTTCCTGGTGGTCATTTGCCAGGTGATGTGCTCTAACCTTAAACTGATACTTTGCTTTAGGTGTCGCCCTTTATACCAGCAGCCTTTTGATCCAACTATACAGTGCTCTCAGTTTCAGTAGGGGATTTTCACCCTTGTGCATGGAAGAGGTGTTCATGGTACTCTGTAAAACAATAAAGAAAAAAGCTTTTCAGAATCATATATAGTGTCAGCTCATTTTTGTAAAAATATAACTGGTTGCATAATGCATTTGTACGCAGAGAAAACTCTGAAAGTGTGTACACTAAAAAGCAGTCAATAGTTTTTTCTGCATGGTAGCCAGAAAGAGGACTTGCCTGTACTAAAAAATGAGTCCACCTGATGGTTAAGTATCACCATGCCATTCCCCTGCAGGCATGTCCAACACCTTGTCACCTAGTTGTAACCATGTCAAGGGCACCGATGTCCCTTTTCCTGGGTCCTTCATTGTCCTATGCCTCCATCTGTGATCCCTTTGCTTTGCTCACTAATCTCTACTTTTTCCTAAAGGACATGGATTATGTTTGTCATAATAAAAAAAACCCACATATCAATACATGGTAAACAATTTAAATGTTCAGTGAACTTATGAGGGCAATGAAAATACTTAAAAATTCTTGTCAGAATGCAAAATGAGAGGTAGAGCACATTATCTATAGGGCTTATAGCTAGAGGAATCAATCTGGTGGCTATAACAGATCCAATACTGTAAGGGTCAGTCTTGTAGTCTGTGAAATGTAAATAAAATGCCTCACAGACTTTTGAGTGGATCAGATGAGGAGCTGAGTTTGTGAGCTGTGTTGGGCTGGCCCCTTTGCAGTAGTTGGACCCTGGACCCTGGACCCTGCCAGACACTAAGAGGAAAGCTGAAGGTAGATCTAACCTGTGCCCAAGAACAAGTCCAAGTACCTGAGAAGAGGTACCACCCTTATCTGGATACTACCAAATCCACTGGGCACTTCTGTTGGCTGTGCCCTGTACCCTCCGCTGACAGCTATTGATATGATGGATTCCTCATGGTGATAAAGGTCCTTTGATTCCCTACAGTCTTCAAAGTGCCAAAGTCCCTATTTTACTCCTACAGGAGTGTGGATAAAGCCTGCCTCCCAACTTCAGATTTGCACCCACCCAGGTGGTACTGCCCCAGGGCTGCTAGGGACCCACTGTATTACATAGTCATTAATATTTTTAGTTAATTTTATACTTGCTCATAGTTTCCTTTCCCTTCATAAGACTCATATATTTGGAGGCCACTGGGGGGTGGTATCCTGAGACTAATCTATGGACCAGGCAATGAATGGTAATTTGAGCAAATCTGCAGTACCCCAGGGAAACCATATCTAAACTTACATACCTTTCCTAGTGTGTTTACTCTCTAAAAATTCTGGCTGGCTTGCTATACAAAAGTAAGGGACTTGTTCACACATAATCACAGAGGATTATACAACTGAGTTTCAAGCTGAAAATATCCCTTCCCATTCCAAGCCAATTCCAACTGAAAAGGGTATAGTGCTCTTGAAAATATTAAAAACTCCCAATAGGAGGCATTTTTATTTAATCCACCAGTATGTTCCTTTTTCAAAACAGACTTTTTCTTATTCACTCTGATATTCCTTACTTTGTAGTTGACACTATGATTGAATGAGGAGCCCCAAGTTTAAAGGAATACATCATTTATGAATTTAGTAGTGTTAGTATGATAATTCTCTCCAAAATTGATCTATAAACTCAATGCTGTCCCAATAGAAATATCAGCAAAATAGGATTCTAAAAGTTATAGGGAAAAGCAAAGGGAATAGGAAAACCAAAATATTTTGAAAATGAATAACAAAGTTGGAGGACTCATTGCCTAATTTCAAGACTAATTATTAGGCTACAGTAATCAAGCCTGTATAGATATTGGCATAAGGATAGGCATACAGATAGATGCGATAAAACAGTCCAGAAACAGGCCATGTATATAGTCAATTCATTTTTTAAAAGGTCCCAACGTAATTCAGAGAAAGGTACACTTTTCAACAAATGATGTGTGAACAATCGGATGTTGTCTTAATTCAGCCTGCTATAACAAAAATACCACAGACTGGGTGGCTGAAACATTTATCTCTCAAAGTTATAGAGTAGGGTAAGTCCAAAATTAATGTGCCTACCTATGCGGTGTCTAATGAGGACCCAATTCTTGGTTCATAAAGTGATGTTTTCACATGGCAGAAGGGGCAAGGAGCTCTCTGGAGTCTTTTATAATGAAACTAATTCCATTCATTCATAGGGAGGATCTTGATATTTAAAGGCTACCAGGCCAAGTTCCCCTCTAAATAGCCCATACCTATTCAGATAGTGAGTGTACCTACTGGGGGCATCCACTACAGAGGAAACTGAATAACTGGGATAGAAAAATTACCATCTCTGCAAATATCATTCAGTCTTTCCTCCCAGCAATGCCAGTGTTTGCTCAATGAATCCATCCATGTACAAAGTGGACATGGAAGGAGGAATAGAGCTGTGCAAATGCTCAACAATATTTACTCCTCTGCCAACAGCAAAGGCCAATGTTGAGCCCCTAACATGGCACAATTTCTAGGGGTTACCCAGCCATCCACTTGGAAAAGGTTGATTACATTGAACCTCTTCCACCACAGACTGTTTTGTCTTCAAATGGAAATAATTACACTTTTTAAGAGAACAGCATTATTGAGATATAATTCAGTTGCCAAGAAATATGGGCCTTTAAAGTGTACAATTCCATTGTATTTATCATATTCACAGAGTTGTACCATTACCACCATGTAATTTTAGAATATCCCCATTATGTCCCAAAGAAACCCTGTACATTAGCAAACACTTCTTATTCCTCTCCAATGCCACCCTCCCCCTACCCAGTTACTGGCAACCACTAATCTACCTTCTGTCTCTATGGATTTGGCTATTGTGGACATTTCATATAAACAGAATCATGCAATAAGTGATCTTTTGTGACTAGCTTCTTTTCCTCAACAAAATGTTTTGAAGTTTCACCCATGCTGCACCATGTATCAACGCTCCATTCCTTTTTGCTGCCTAATAACATTCCATTAAATGTTATCCATTCATTTATCCATTCATCAGTTGATGAACATTTGGGTTGGCTTCATTTTTGGCTATTATGAATACTGCTATGAACATCTTTGTAAAAAGTTATTGTTTGAACACATTTCAATTATTTGGAGTATATACACCTATAAGTAGAATTGATGGATCATGTAGTAACTCTATGTTTGACATTTTGAGGAATTGCTAAATATTTTTATAAGGGACTGAAACATTTCACATTCCCACCAGCAATGTATGAGGTTCCAATTTCCTCTTACTCTCACCAGGACTTGTTCTTGTCTGTCTTTTTATTTTTTATTTATTTATTTAATTACTTTATTGTTGTTCAATTACATTTTTCTGCATTCTCTCCCCTCTACGGCCCCCACCCCAGCCAAACCCACCTCCCTCCCTTGCTTCCACCTTTGTCTGTCTTTTTAAAATCTGTCAGTGAATGTGAAGTGATATCTCATTGAGATGTGATTTGCATTTTCATAATAGGTAATGATATTGAATATATTTTCATGAGTACAGTGACTATTTGTGTATCTTCTTTAATGATAAATATCTATTCAAAACATTTACCCAGCCCTGGCGAGGTATCTCAGTTGGCTGGAGAACTGTCCCAGTGTGCCAAAATTGTGGGTTTGATTTGCAGTCAGGGTTCATATATAGGAGTCAACCAATGAATTCATAGACAGGTGGAACAAATTGATGTGTTTCTCTCTCACTCTCTTCCTCCCTCCCTCTCTCTTTAAAATAAATAAATAAATTTTAAGCAAACAAAAACCTAAAATATTTGCACATTTTAGAATTAGCATTATGCCCTGGCTGGCATAGCTCCATGGATTGAGCGCGAGCTCCAAACCAAAGTGTCACAAATTCGATTCCCAGTCAGGGTACATGCCTGGGTTGCAGGCCATGACACCCAGCAACCGCCCATTGATGTTTCTCTCTCTCTCTCTATCTCCCTCCCTTCCTTCTCTAAAAATAAATAAACAAAAAATCTTAAAAAAAAGAATTAGCATTAGGTTATTTGCTTTTTTATTGTTGACTCATAAGAGACCATTATATATTCTGAATACAAGCTCTTATCATATATATGATTTGCAAATATTTTCTCCCATTCTGTGGATTTCCTGTTAACTTCCTGGATGGTGTCCTTTGAATCATAAATTTTTTTCACTTTGATTAAGTTCAATTCATCTGTTTTATCTTTCATTGACTATGTGCTTTTGGTGTCATCTCTGAGAAACCATTCACTAACATATGGTAACAAATATTTACTCCTATGTTTATTTCTATGAGTTTTATAGGCTTAGCTCTTACACTCAGAAGTATGATTCACTTTGAGTTTTTACATCATTTGAATAAGGGCCCAAGTTAATTCTTTTGCATGTAAATATCCACTTGATCTAGAACCATTTCTTGAAAAACTATTCTTTCCCCATCAAATTGTCTTGGCACATTTGTTGAAAATGCATGGACCATAAATGTGTGGGTTTAGTTCTAGACTCTCAATTATGTTTTATTGATCTACATGTCTAAGCCTTATGCCAGTACCACACTGTCTTAATTACTGTAGCTTTGTAATCAATTTGGAAATAGAGAACTGTGAGGCCTCCAACTTTCTATTTCTTTTTTTCATGATCATTTTGGCTATTCTGGGTTACTTTGGATGTTCATAAGAATTTTGCTATCAGCTTGTCAAGTTCTGAAAAGATGTCAGCTGGAATTTTGATAGGGATTGCAATGAATCTGCAGGTCGGTTTGGGAAGAATTGCCAATTAAACAATATTAAGTCTTCCAATCCATGAACACAGTATGTCTTTGCATTTATTTATGTTTTTTTAATTATGTTA